CATCCATGGAAAAGGTTTCTGGGGTTAGAGGATCTTCCCCTGTCTGATTGACACCTGAAGTGGGAAAGGCTGTGTTAGCATCACATAACACTGTGGACTACACTAATTTGATGCTTTTGAACCTCGCTCTTTTCTTGTCATTCTTCTGGAGTTGTAACATTCAGACCTTTCTGCTCAGACAAACATTTCTGTGTTTTTTGACCTGCCAAGTGTCAAAAATCGGTTCATCTTCTCAGCTCTTCTCCCCATACCTGATGGACAATTGTCGCATGAATGTGCTGCGGTTCAGGAGCAGCTTTGCAATCTAGGCTAAGATGTGACTAACAAACGTCTGTCTGATTCAAACATGATTCTTTTAAGATGGATCAGCATCACGTGATCCTGCTACGGGCACGCATTGTTTTGTTTTGCTGTCTGCTCCTCTAATGACTTGGATTTTTAGCTCATTCTCAATACATTTTTCTATGTCCATGACTCCGATGCATAGTGAAAACATATGCATTGTTTCCTGTTGGAATAATAATTTTGCATGCTTCTCACATTACAAAGCCCTTCTCCGGCCTGTAAACATCTGTGTGTGTGAGTGTGCTGCTCACACTGACTCTGATGACCTTAGTGCTTCTGACAACACCAGTGAATGCTGCATCCACACATGCAGCCACACATGCTGCTCCCCGTTTCCACTCCTCGTTGTCTTCACACTGATTGCAACACGGTCTTGTCATAATCTGGGTCCCTTTTGTCTCACCACCTGATGTCGCCAAAGTCCCTCTTCCTTTTTGGTTGTCTGTCTCAACCACCTGTTCCCCATGACTGTCATGGGATTGCCTCGTTATGTTAGAGTATTTAAACCCTGTGTTCTGTTGCCCTCCTTGTTGAGTCTTCGTTGGTCACCCAGTAAGTCTTGTGTGCTTCTTTGCTCTTTTGCCTCAAGTCGCTTTTTGTTCTTTGGATCTTATATCTGTTTGCCCTTGCGGAATTACTTGGCTTTTGGATGTCTTTTGTTTTTAGGGATCTAACTACCTGTGTTCTGGACTTTTTCCCTTTTTCTGGAAACTTCTGAGCGTTTGATTAATTTTGGGAAATAAACTCTTCTCCTCTTTTAGACTTGCCTGCGCTTGAGTCACTATCTAGGCCTCCATGGGTCAGGAGATTGCTCGCCACCTGGGAGACCCGCGATCAATCCCAGACCCTGACAGGTTTTCCTAAAGGTTTCATCCCATATTGTGCTAGGTGGACACATCGGTTGGAACACGTGTTAAAAAGTGGGAATTCTACACTAATCTTAAATGCACACAAAGCTAAATGTGTTACAAAATGTTTTAATTATTAAGCACAGAAATACTCAGCCATGTATGGTTGTGCTACTCAAAACACAGGAGAGGTCACTCAGTATTCCAGGACCTTTCAAACATTTTAAATTGGGTTTTATCTGTGACAATTCTCAGTCTTCCAGGTCATGGCCATCAAGTAGGAGGGACCATAGCCACCTTTTCCCCCTAATTCTTTTGTTATATCCACAATATATCAATCTCAATGCTCCCCACAATCAATTAGAACTGAAGAAGGTTCATGAATGAGAGGCTAAATGTCTTCTAGAAAACTTCACATCCAGTTTCCATAACTGAACTTTTCAAATTGGGTTTTACTGAACTCAAACCAGCTGAGGGAAAGATATGCACTTGTTTTAGTGGACATGTTCACCAAATGGGTTGAGGTTTTTCCTGCCAAACATAGAAACAGTCATGCATAGACCAAATCTCTACTGACACAGATCAATTTGAGATGAGGCATTTCAGGGACATTGGCACACAATTTGTGAATAGAATACTCACTGAGTTTAATTGGTTTGGAAACAAAGCTGCGAACACACTGAGCTTTCCATCCACAGATTGGGGAAGCTGTTCAGAGACAAACTGGCACGAGGAAAGCAAAATTGGCCAAATGATGTGAAAAAGATATAGGACGTGTGTTTGTTTTAGTCCTTTTGAAATTTTTTGGTAAACTTCCAACCACGGAATGGGACCTGTAACCAGCGCCCTACCATCCACCTCTTTTTAAAGGATGCAATGTTGTTTTATTCTCAAAACCTTTCCATTGTTCTTTCTCAAGATTCATAGCTAGTGAAAGCAGTACCAGCCTCAGCTGCTACACCTCTGCACATACTGAGACCAGGTGACTGGCTGGTGGTGAAGGGACTTCACAGAAAGCACTGGAAGTTACAATGCTGGCTAGGACCATTCCAGGTGCTACTGGTTAGTGATGGCGAGATGAAGCTTCATAAAGCTTTGAAGCGTTCCATCCAATTGGTTCACTCGTGTGTTGAAGCTTCATAGTGCTTCATTTGCTCTGTTCTGCCCCCTGGTGGACAATAAATGTAAACCGTACAGCGTGGGGATCGGCGGTTAGCATAGTGGACGGATGGATGTTTGTGATGCTTATACATGAATTATACACTTTTAGATGATGTCTGTCTTTATGATACAATGACAGGGAAGCTTGAATAGATCGCTCACAAACTCGTAATTAAGTCCCAAGTCCACATAAAGTGAGGGGGGGATTCATTGCGTTTTGCTGGCCCTTATTTTTCAAATAGATCGCCAAACCGCGAACCACTTCCTGAATAAGTCACGTGGTCCGGCCGGTTCGCGAGGCTTCAAACGTCACCGCATACGTCACCGACACAAGCCTCGATACGCGCTTCTCAGAAATTATCCGGGGTTTCTCGACACGCGCTTCGAAGCCTCGATACGAAGGGACACATCACTACTACTGGTCACTCACACAACTGTGAAGTTGTCAGAGAGAGCACCCTGGATTTATGCCAGCCACCATAAGAAGATTCTAGAACTGACAGATGATCTTCGTGTGAAAAGACACCAACCAGAGCAGAAAACTGTGAAGAAGAACAAGGATGAGTAAACACTTAAAGTTTACTCCACCGCTAGTAAATGCTAGTGACCTCTGACACCGAAGAAAGAAGAGGAGCGAGAACATCAGTGAGCCACTCAGATCTTCAACCACGACACCACAGCGAGTCCAGCACCAATGAGATGGCAGAGGGAACGGACCATCAGGATTGGGTCCGTTGTAATGTTGTTCATGATTAGGTTGTGCTTTTTCAAAGCTCAGAACACATCTCATGATTTGCGCTTTAAGCGCCACATTGAAAAGATCTCTTTTTAGGAAGAATCTAGAAATGTCTTGCGACATCCTTGGGTATTATTTGGCATTATTTGGTATCAACTTGCTAGTTCCAGTGCTAGATCAGTAAGCAATAAGTCCTGTTTTGTTTGTGTGAGAGATGCTGAGCCTATTGCTTACATGGGTATTCCTGGTGATGTGGATCAGTCCACCTTTTCTTCATATGGCCTTTGCACTAATGGCACATATAATAAGACAGTATATTTTCCAGACCTCGTCTCTATGTCTGAGGAGCACAAGAAGAAAAATGTCACTTGCACTTACTTCCTTTGTCTCACTCGCTGTTTGATTATGAGGACAAGATGGATTAGAAGTGGGAATGATTAAGTAGTAGTGAGTAGTCCTGGGGATATTCATCCATTGTCTCACTACTGCCCCCCCTTGGACCAGTGCTACTTGTTTAGAGGTTGTGGTATTCTATGAGTTTTTGGTAGGGCCAACACTATTTCCCACTCAGAATGTGATGTCACTGTCCCAATTGTTTTCAATGGCAATTTTTTCCAACCTGGTTGTTTTTTCCTGGTCATTACGTTCCATGCGTACTGTTCCTGACACATTGCGGTAAGAGGGTTGGATGGACAGACGTACGTACACATGTCATACTAATTGTTGATGTTAAGTTGTTGCTTCAAAGAGAAAAACATAGAAAAAAAATCTATTATTCCTGGTAGTTTTGATAGCAAGGTGTACATGGATGTCATTGATGTTCCCGTTGAGATCTATTTGCTTGTGGCCCACCACCACTACAAAAGTTAACCGGATAAATGACCTTATCTTAACAATACCGCCCCAGGTAGTTCTGTGACCATAGCTCTGGATAGGTTACGTTCTTTTCCATACAGGTTTCCATACAGGACCCAGTTTATTGTGATCAGAATCCAAAAAATACACTAAAATTGCCCTCTACACCATTCGTGAATCGGTAGCTGTGAGTCAGAGGTTAACTTCAGCCTTGTGTCATGTGCACAAATTAAATAAGTCATGGGCACAAGTTATATATTTTTTCCTCTTATGTCACCCGATGGGCTCTGTAATTTGTTGTGGTTTATGCTACTATAATTCATCACTGGTCACTTAAAACAATTGCTGTCTACTTGAGTTGCATTTATATTCACAGCAAATTCCCTCAGGATAAATAAAGCTTTTGGAATCTTTGAATTGAATTGAATCAAGAGCAACACCATGATGTTATTTAACCACACTCTAGGCAACAGGGAAAAATAAAATCCTAAAACAGTTATTTCCAATACACAATCACTACATGTAGATTTCACTACTACACAAATGTCTACAGCCTTACTACTAAGGCTTATCTTGTAATTTCTTGTGTCACAACCCCCCTTGCCTGGAATGTTTTATAGGTTTCTGAATCTTGTTGGCTTCTGCTACTATATAACTCTATACTAACAGTGACTTATGTGATCAGGACAACTCACACGAGTTATCCTGGGATTTTTTAAACCTTTCACTTTGGTTGTTTCCGCTTTGTTCTGCTCTTGAGAGTAAACCATGACATCTTATTTGGGGGTTTTTTTCTGGAACTTTACAAAAATATCAACCTATGGTCAGATCTCTTCAAATCTTGTATTTCTTCTTGTATCATTATTCAATATCTTTTATTCTTCTAAATTAACCGATTAACCGTCTTTTCTTCAGTTTACGATAATGTATAGTTTCTGAAGACATACAAAATTAATGTATTCGAGTCTTTTTATTATACTCAGATGGAGTCAAACTAACCTTTACAATATAATGAATTGAGTTTTAGTTAGTTAGTTTATTATTTGAATGCTTACCTGACAAGTTTCAACTTTTTTAGCTACTTTCAGCCCCTGTTACCAAAATGAGAAAAATTAAGTTTGATGACTACATTGATGCGATGATGCATTTTAAAGGCTTACATTTCCATATTAATGAGGGTATCAGAAAGACAGTTTTACCTCAGGCAGCACACACCAGTAATGAGTTTCTTCAGTGACTGCCATAAAGTTTAAGGCTGCACCTTTAAAAGCTGCTTCTCCTCCAAAGCCATTTGCAGAAAGTGCAGCTCTTCACTTTTGAAAATGAGCACCCTGATGATTGCCATCAGAGCCGTAGCGTTAGAGTTGAGTGAATGGGACAGAGCTGAAAATGGTAACATATATAAAACAAATAAAAAGGATGAAGCAAAAAAAAGGGTGGTATAGTAAAACTTGACTGACCAGAAACAACCTGATCAAGTTTGGGGAAAAAATATACACAGAAAAGATCTATTGAGAAATGCTCCACTGAAAAAAATCAGTTAACCCTGTGTGTTAAGGTCTGGTGGAATTCAGATCTTAGTGAAAACAAAGGAGAATCTCTTAATCCCAAACTTATTATTATTATTATTTATTTGACAATGAAAAAGCAGTGCTAACTGCAGGGTAAACATTCTAATTAAGACAATCTGAGACAAAAAAGTATCAACTAAACATCTAAAGAAACACAAGGAAAAAGTACAATGGTAAAGAAATCCCCCATGGTAGGGGGGTCAAGAATAGCCATGCGTCTTTATTTTTTTTTCACAAAATACATTTCGCACACATAAATGATGTGAATATCAATGGACTAATTTGGCGGTGAGACAATAGTCAAAACCAGCAGGGGAAATATGGGAATTCCAGAGAGGGTGGTCTGTCTGTAAAATGGATAAATATATTACAGGGGAAAAAAGAAAAAATAGGCAACATGTTAGGTACAAGCACAACAAAGACAAATGAGGACAATGACCAAACGCCAAATCCCAAGAAGAGAAAATATGATGAGGCGTAGCTTGCTATGGCATGAGACGAGGAGAGATGTGTGATATGTGAAATTACTCCCTACCTTCCTCAGCTAGCCGCTCTAACATAAAAAAAAACATGAAAATACAGCAGGCAGGAAAATCATCTTAAAGAGACAGCAACAGTGAGCAACAATGCCCTGCTAGCATTGTACAAGATTCTATAAAGAATTGCAAAGTATAAAAACACACTCCTATGACAGAAAAGAAGCACATCATTTTAGCAGCATATGGTCTAGTGCCAGCAATGATTGTCCTCCTGTTTGATGACATCATTGGAAGACGTATATGTGCAGCAAATGACCTGAGAGACCAACTACAAAAAAAACTAGAAGGAACCCTGTTCTCCTGACATGTGGACAAGGCTACTGACAGCAACAAGGAATGCCTGATTATCGCATATGTTCACGTAGTCATTTCAGAGTGAGGTGTCATCACACTGGCAGATGAGCTGAACCCTCATTTTGGGCTTGGATCAACAGAGTCATCCACATGGCACTCTGCTGGCCAAAGCAGCTTCATCCTCCCAGTGGATGAGGATGGGGTCAGGCAGATGCTGCTAGTTAGGAACCCTTGAAAGTCTGCTGGTCCAGATGGCGTGTTGAGAGACTATATGTCAGGGCTGGACTTGCTGAGCGAGGACTCAGATGCAGAGCTTCTTTTCAAAAGAGTTTATTAACAGAATACGCACTCCAACGGAGTGGAAAAGGATGGCGCTCCAAAACGGAGGAAAAAGTAACAACTGAAAACTTCTCAGAAGAGGCAGGGACAAAAGTACAAATCAGGACAGCAAAGTGCAAAGTAAATCTCTCTTTTCAGGGGACGAGGCGTAAGCAAAGTAACAAAGAAATACTCACTAGTCCAAAGCTGCTAGGAGATAATCAACTCAAAAACTCGCACAGGAGGCAAAACGAGGAATGCGAGGTTCAAGGACGGGGACTATGGTCAGGACGAGGGGACTCGGGAACGGGAACTATGATGGGTCAGGAGCTATGGTTCGAGAGGCACACGAGAAAAAACGCAATTCTCTGGCACGGGGAGACGAAGACTATTTAAACACATGAAGGAAGGGGGCCCCAGGTGTACACAATAGGTAATCAGGGAGACGATCGGACTGGTGACACAACAGAAAGTGCAAGTGACCTGAAACGAGATGAGGGTTAGTCTTCAAAGTAAAACAGGAAATGACGAGACGACATTAAGACGAGACGAAAAAACCTCAACCAGGAGCACCACCGTGACACTATACTAATCAGCTGGCTGGAGTCTTAACCAGAACATTCAACAGGTCCCTGTCCCAGTCCTTTGTTTCAGCCTACCTGAAGTCCTTACTATGATAACTCCGCACAAGAACCTTTCACTTCCAGCCCTAAGGACTACCAGCCTGTAGCACTCACTCCTGCGGTGCTTTGAAAAGCTGGTCAGGGATAATATTACATCACATCTGTCCAAATGTTCTGATCCCAATTTGACAACAGAAGAAGATGGGATACCATCCATGTGCCCCCCAGCTTCAACACTGGCCCCTGACAAGGCTGCGTGCTAAATAGCCGTCAGCCATCAGCAGGTAGTCTGTCAGAAACAGGCTGTTGGGTTCGTTGCCATGACGATGGGTTGTTTAAAGCATATCTTGGTTAGTTTACATTTATATTTCAAAAACATATATTTTAAGTTAAGCCATCTTAATCCTGAGATTGTTACTCAGCGGATATTTAACTGCTAACTTTTTCTGCGTTACCTAGTAATATCAGCACAAGCCAAAATGTGTTGTCATTTCATTTCAGGACAAAACCACCACCAAATAAAAGGGTCAATTGTTGGGTTTCTGTAAATAACTTCAGAGTAAGGTCTGACCTGCCGTTTTTGGAAAGCACTGTGAGATAACTGTTGTTGTGATTTGGTGCTATATAAATTAAATTGAATTGAAAAGCAGGACTTACTTTGTTTTGTTTGAAAGAGTAATGTCTTTTATCAACATGTATGATATTATATATACATTTTTGTGCAATAGTGTCATATTTAGGAGCATAATAGTACAAGAGATTGAGGAAGCTGTGGTGAGGCTTTAAATTGAGGGTGTGAGGTAAGGTCTAAAAGTCATATTATTGACAATAATAGATTGAAAAGGAGAACAGATGAGGACTCACGTCAAGAAGATTTTTCAAAGATGAATTTTCAATGATTATTAAGTCATTTCCACAGTTTTATAAGGGTTTGAGTCAGTTTATGATCAGGTTATCAGCTGTACTAGAACACCCCAGTAGTATTGTGCACATTTACACAGTGAGATGCTACTCCTTAGTGACCACCAAGTGGATTTTCTTTGTCTTTTAGTACTAAAATGGACTACCTTTATGCTCATGAACTGTACGTTACAGATGCATCTCTGAGGACGATTTGTGGGATTTGTGGGCTTAAGGTGAATTATTGAAATATTCAGTGAAAATATTTACAATGAGAGTTAGGCTGTGCTGTAAAGGAGTCGACAGTGCATGATAGCCTAAATACACGATATAAATATAAAAATTAATTGTTAAAATTTCTAATTCTATTTGATAAAGATTATAACAGATTCTGCTCCGGTTTTGACCAGAGACAGGATATATAACATCATTTCTCTAGTGCTCGGATCTGTGTACAGAAGTCTGAAGGTATCCTTCTTTTTCTTAAGGGCAATCTTGCTTCCATGCTAGATGGTTCATGCTGAGCGTGGATCAATAGATAGGATACATCAACATCTCCTGCGTTATGTCTGCCAACAACATTTATTTCACTTCAGGTCTTGCGTCCACACTGGAGTTCTTCCAGCAGATGTATGGGATTTAACAAAAAATAACAAACAAGGCACAAAGAAAAATACAATGATTTTTAAAAAGTTATGTTTACTTTTACTAATTTAAATGTGACTTGTCATTGTTTTGATATCGTAGTAATATTAATATTGTATCATCTAAACTTTATACTGCTTCATGAAGCAAACAATATAGTTTTCTGTTTGTCTTTTAGATCGTAAGGTGCTTTTTCTCAATCAACCTTTAGAAGGGCAGTAAGGTAAAAGAAACCTGCAAACCCACACTGCACACAAACCCCCAAGTTTTCACTAAATTAAGGAACTGTCGGATCGTGAATGTCGTGATGTCAGAGAGCGGACTAAAGTTGGTGAATTTTCCAACCGGTTATCAGACAGTTGCAAAGAAGTTGCATCATAATAGTCCAGTTGTTCACAGTTTCTAGGTTTCTGTATTGGTTGAATAGCAAATTTTATTTTTTGTGACAATAATTTTGTTATTGCTCTGGAAAGAAGCATTCTGTAATTTACAGGAAGTTAAAGAATTATTTTTGTATGAACAGTTTTTTTTATCCTTGGTAAATATTTTGTAGACCTCGAGATTGCATTGTGTTATATATATATATATAGTATTTTTCTTTAGATATAGATATTCAATGTTTTGGTGAGTTCTATTGGAAGCAATTTATGACAGCCGCACACCAAATTTAAATTTGCCTTGGCAAAATACAGTAGCATCAATGCATAGTGCTATAGGTTATGACATGTACTACACATTTATATATCATTTAAATATAATTTCCTTTCTTTTGTTAATGAATATGTAGCTAAATATTTCTGTGTTTAACAACCACCTTATACAGCTGCTGTGCACATGCGTGCATATATGGACTAGTACTTCCAGCACTGCACAATGACAAATGACAAATAAATGGTGCAATGGAAATAATGCTAGCTAGCCATCTTATTCTAAGTGGAGATACCATCATAATCAACACATTTGTTTTTCTCTTTCATTGTTTCAGAAAGTCTAGGACACACACACACACACACAAACACACACGCACACACACACGCATGCACACACAGACATTTAGAGTCTCATTGCCACTGCAGATCATGAAGTCTCTTATTCTAAGATGATTTGATTCCCACATATCTTCACAAAAATACTGAATCATTATTCTCAAAAATCTAAGAAGGTGGACAGCACACTGAGCTCTTCTGGTGGCAGTGGCTGCTTCCCAATAACGCCACAGTGTGCAGTGATAACCTGATGGGCTTCCTACCATACAAGCTGGAGAAATCAGAGAATGTGATCCTCACGGTGTCACCCCATCAACCTGTCCTGCATTGTTTGGAGACTTTGGGTATCAAACAGCAAACAATCAGTAAGGCTATAGAGAGACTTGGGTGCTAACACTGTAAAAGGTGAGGAGATCATTCTATTTGACCACCTTCCATGTCCCATCATACCTGTCAGAGGGTCTCTACTCTGCCACTGATCAAACCAAAAGGTGTACGACTAACAGACACGGCTGAGTGAACATAATCAAAACTCTCACTTCCATGTTCTGAGCAGGAACTCCAAAGAAATTATTTATTTTTCGAACAAAGACGTTTTACTCTAAAAATGCCATTCATCCTACAGGCTTTCATCAGCTGAAGCCAAGGCATGTAGGCAGACTCTGCAGAATCCGCAATAATCCGGGAGGACGTCTTGTTTGTAAAGGCAAAAAAAGTTTTCTTTAAACTCTGCAATGGTTAACAGGTTAACTGCCCACAACAAGCAAACATTACAAATCAGCTCGTAAGATAAGGCGTACCACTCTGACCAAATGTGGTCTGAGGCGGAAGTGAGCGGATCAGTGGTGGCTCAAAAATGTGATGCAAGTGTTTGGTTTCAGTATTTACTTTTCAAATTCCAACTTCCATCGGCCAGATTCCTCAAACCGGATGGACACTGTTTGCTTTGGAAGATGTGAAGATGTCCTAATCGAACCACCACAAGGAATAGGAAAATCAAATACTTCAAAAAAACTGTTCATCAGCTTTTTCTAATAAACTATCGCCGTAAGGCAAATTAAAATGGCACGGAGCAGTAAATGTGCTGCACATGAAATGTTTTCAGGCACCTTTTAGGATTAGCATCAGTTTTATGTCCACACTGCAATTTCTCTGAGCTCAGTTTGAATTGAAGATTAACATTCAGAAACAAAGTCCTCCTCCCACTCAGACAAATAATTGAAGGAAAGGGAAATCTCATCGGTAATAATTAACTGGTGGTAGGTATATAAAATCAAGGCAAGTAGAGAGAGACCACACTCAAAGATCTGAAAAAAGGAGACCTGGTGAAGCCAGAAGATGAAGTCCTCCACTTTGATTTCTTTGGCCCTGTTTGGTTTCTTTAGTGCGGTTCGCAGTGACGAGTCGTGCTCTCCTCCTGCTGACGTGTGCGGCTTCATGAGAGAGTTGGCTGCCATGAAAGAATCCCTCAAAGCCATCAACACGGGACTTTTGGAGAGTGAACGGAGGCACAACACCAGTGAACAGCAGATACTGAATCTATACCAAAAAGGTAAGGAGGAAAACATGTGCCTCAGGTCTTGAGGGGGAGTTGTGGAGGGTGTCTGTGCCAACAATTCAATTGACTGAATGCAGTCATGTGACAGGAAGGTTTTGTCTCACCCAGAGAGAAGCAGAGTGATATTCAGTGCTGTGACAGGAGGAGGAGGCCAGGCAATCGGGCCTTTCAGCACTGACACGACTGTGGTCTACAAAGAGGTGTTCACCAATGTTGGCAATGCCTACAACAAGGACACAGGTGAGATTTCAAATGTTTTTTTTAAGCTCCTCTTCATATTTCCAAAACAGAATGACTTGCATATCTCTATAGAATCGCACATAATGTGTAGGTGGAAGAATGTTGTTATAGTAAAGCAGAAAAGAAAACGTCACTAAACGAGTGAATTTCAATTGATGTAAAAACTTGTGTTTTTTTTACTTTAACACCTGGTTTGAATTTAAAAATAAAAAAATGTGACCAATGCCCTGTTAATTCCCTCCAGGTATCTTTGCACCCCCTGTTGCTGGTGTGTACTACTTTACTTTCTTCTATCACGCTGGAGGAGAACACGAGTCAAAGCTCTTTCTGTACAAGAATGATCAGAAAATGGTCATGACCCACGACCACGCCTCACAAGTAGACACGGCTGACAATGGAGGAAATGCAGTTTACCTGCAGCTGCAGCGTGGAGACAACGTCTACGTGGTTCTGGCTGCTCATACGCACATTTTCGGATCCAGCCACCATTCAACTTTCAGCGGCCGTCTGGTCACTATGACATAAAAGAAAAAAATAAACATACAGTGAAGCTGTACCCGCATCTCATTTAAGTGTGTGAGAGCTTTATTCCAAACTTTATTCGAAGGCTATTGTCTCTTCCAAAGTTTCTTTGAAATGCCCTTCATCCTTGCTGAAACACGTGCTTTAACGTGGATGAAACAACATAGAATAAATAAATATGAGACCAATAAAGTCGTGTAAGAAAATCACAGGAAATACAAGTAAAGAGACAGTTGGGGTAAAGTCCATGTGCTTCTGTTGCGCCCTTTGCTCCGATAAATTGGGAGAGGTACGTGGTTACTTTTTAGTTAAAATGAATAACGGAGATGCTGCCGGCGTCTTCACTCACTTTAACTTTATTCAAAAGAACACCGAAACTTTTCTGGGCAAGCGCAAAACACAGTTCTCTGCTGGGCAGAAGCAATCGATCCACGAATCATCTAACTCGATTGAAATTGTAAATAGCGTACCTAGTATTAGTACTTTTAGTACTGTATTACCATTACTTTTAAACAATCCTAACAAAATGATGATTATGAATAACCTTCGTTTTTAACTGCAATATCAGTTTTTTAAACCTGTGTATTTTAATCTGTCCCAAAACACTTAGACAATTTCAACCCATCACACTTCTGCAGAGTTGAAATGAAATATGTTTGCTAAGTTGGTAGTTAGTTGGAGAAGGGAAGAGCACAACATCTGAACCCGTCTAAAAAACATTGATGTCATCTACCAACACATGTTCAAATACATCAACAGTACCTTTTCACAGAGAAGAAATACATTTTTTAACACATGAACATCATGTGTTTATGTAAAAAGGAGCATGTTTCTATTGAACTCTCTTTGGAAAAGTAAAAATGAACACTGAAATGAAACGAAAAAACATCTATTGTTGTCTTATTAGTTAGGACTTAACAAAGAATGTCAAATAAAAGTTTTTACCCATCTCCCCACACTCCCCACCCTGTAGCCCATTTAAAGAAAACTATTTTAAGGAGAAAATAAGAGACATCCACGTGTGATTTAAAAAAAAAGTCAATTGTAACAAAGGGTCTAACAATATGAACAACTGTAAAAATATCCGGTATTAAGCATGAGGACCAGGAAGGCTGTATTTGGTTAAGTGGAAATGTAGCAAGAAGTCATTCTTTTTCAAAGATTCACAAAAAAAGGACATTTGTTCATTGCTGCAAAGCTTTAATAAGAACTCTCAGTCACAGCAGTTAAAACATCCAACTACATTCAGCCTTCAATGGAACTTTTTATGTCACTGAGACCACAAGGATTTAACCATGTTTGTTTCACGAAATGGAGTTGGAACATAGTACAGTGTGATGAGAATGTGTAATGTTGCTGAAGCGCGGTAGCTTTTCAAGATATCTGGGGTCATTTATCGAGCAGAACGCCATCACTTTGCTAAGCTTTGCAAAGGATTTAACCCTATAATGCCAAATGTATTTTATTTGATACGTACGGTTTCTGAAGTCTTTTGGATCTGAGACTTTTTGCATCATTTAGTGGTAAAAGCTTTGCTCAAACCCCTGTTGTACACATTCAGATATACCTGATAACAGCCAGTAGAAGACTACACCAAAATATAATTTTGACTTATTGCACGCTAATTTGATCAAAATAATTTCTGTTTTCTTTTTCTTCAAATTCTGTTGAGGGGCAAAAGAAAGAATTCAGACTAAGAAAATCCAATATTCTTCGTATTTTTCTTGGACCAGGCTTTAAAGGGTTGAAGGCTGGTGTTGAGGGTCATGGTTTGCAGATCTGGCCGTTTTGTGGTTTTCGAGGGGAACTTGCTTGGTAATGAGTAGGACGACACCGGTTCGACACCTTGTCACAAGCTACCATTGGATACACTGTGCGGGAGGCTACATTTGTAACTTTGCAATTATAGGTGTTGACACTGATTTCGTACACCAGAATGCTGGATTTGCTGGTGCACAGGTTGATGTTCTGGCGTATTCCTCCTCCATTGCAGATCTTCACGGCGAGACTCTGATCCTGACTGGGGATGAAGGTCTGAAAAGATCGGTTGCAGAGTTTCTTCTTCTTAATGTACCTGAGGAATGAGACCAAAGCCCAGTGTTACCGGAAATCAAACCATTATCTTTTGAAAGCAGCAGGAAAGTTTAAATAATCGATAAACAACAAACAATGCCTAAGAATGAAATGAGAAGGATGTATTTACAACCAATTGAATCAAAAGATCTGTGTCCATGTCAACCTGCTTTTAGCTGACATACAATATTATCTACTTTATGATACCTAATCAGGTGAGGAAGTTTTAATGATGCCATATGATTCCTTTAAAAACAATTATTTTAACCCACTTTCCCCAGTCAGTCTTTGATGCGGTGTTGATGCTGTCCATAAGGATGTGTTTGCGAACAAACTTGTTGTAGGCGTTGTTGTCAGAGTTTGTCTGACACGGACTACTATTGTAGGCTCCTGCTCCGTCCAGGATCAGAGCAAAGGCCACAGTGGACAGGGCAGTGATCAGGATAGCCACATTCATCCTTTCTAGAGAAAGAAGAAAATGAAGTCATTCATCCAACAATCAGCATTCGAACCAGGAATCATCTCCTCTCTTGATGATAACCACCACAGAGAAAAAAGACACAAATTCCGGCAACTACAAGCTGTTAATTCTTTATGGAAATAGATTATATTTCCTCACCTGCTCTGATCAGCCTTCTCTGGACACCTGGTGCTGTTGTCTATCAGAATTAGTTGACTTGTCTATGAAGGAGATCGGTGTCAGCTAAGGTTTCTGATGGAGAGTGGAAATACTGCCCATTTTATGAAGTACTGTGTGAGCAAAAAAACAAAAACAAACTCCACCTAGGAGAAAACATCCAATGAAATGACCATAAATGACTTTTTAACCATATTAGTCTCCATGAGCGCAACCAACAAGTTATTGCAACAACCCAGTGTGTGGACATTTTTTGCGGTTGATATCTAATCTGTGAACATGCAGAAGTGTGCCGGTGTGCCGGACAAAGATGTGTGTCGAGAACAAACCAAGATCTGGTGTTGGTATCTGGTATTAAATTCCACCTTTTCCACCACTTTGGGAAGATAGCATGTCCCAAAAGTACCCAGAGAACTCCATGATTAAAGTGTGTTTTAAAGATGCAAAGAGCAGCCTTGCGTCTAATAACTGTGACAGATTAAGCTGGTGGACAGAAGAAATGGGAGCACATGTGAGTTTCCGTGGGAATGTTGTTGAATGGATTTCCATTTACACACAGTTTTTACAAAAAGATTGAAATCCAGCTCTTGACCAGTTGTGAGGATTGGTCACACTTTGGGAGAGGCAGGGTTTTTGACTTTCAGACAGATGAATTGATTTAAAATACTGACTTAATACCCTTTACATGTCGCTTGATTTAAATACTTAAGGTAGCAGTCACCTCAAAACTGTTCAGATTCCCCTGTCAAAAATACAATACAAATCCAGAGACAGTGGCATTAGGGGTCTTGCTGGACCGCTGTCTGGGGACCCTGGATGGCTTTTTTTTGCTTGTTTGTTCTTTTGTCTTCCCTGTGTCCATTTGCAGGAGCTCCTGTACGTTCTCCGTCCGGATAGCCCACAAGAAACAGTTTCTTTTGTACAGACATAACATATTTTTGTCTGGTTTTGTTATCTTTTTTTTTCTGTTTTCTTTCTGTCTCTTTCTCCTTTTCAAGTTTGCTTTCCTTAGCTCTTCTTTCTTCCCTGTTCTTCAGATTCGGCATTACTGGATGTAATAATTAGATTGCATAATTAAATAGATAAATAAAGCAGCGTTGGATTATCAAGGGGGGCTTTTCACCAATAAAGCCTCCTTTTGCAAAGCAAATGTGTTCAGCTTAGCACGGTACTCAGATTTTAGTTCTGCTGCCCTAAGGCTGAACAGGACGTGGTAAAAAAACACAAAAAACTTTGTCAGTTCCACTTAAACAGGAAAAGAGAAAGGGATGTGATAAAATACAGCAAGAAAGCGGAAATATGGTGATGAGGTAGTTTTAGACTTCCGGGTCAATTTGTGGTAGATATGGTTATCTGAGTGAAGCTACCCCCCCCTCACCTTCTTCAATTCTTACTCAAAGTTACTAAAAGCTTCCGTTTTAACTTTCTGAGTGGTTGGAACATTACAACCCCAAAATAACCATTTAAATCATCATGCACTGCATGTGGTCTGACATTGACATGGTTTGCTCTCAAACTACCATTTAGTCCTCCGGACCCTCATCAGCGTGAGTCCACAGTGATATGGTACAACTTCTTGTGACGTTACACAACAATGCAAGTCACTGTGACCAATTGGAACGTTTTTCCTGTTCAAACCTCCGCTGTGGCCTTTGCATTGCAACAGGAGCCCCCACAACAAGGAAACATTACATGACAAACAAGCCCATGGACGTCCAAGACACTTTTCCATCGGTACCTACTCAGCCCTAAGCCTTTATATCCCGACACAAGCATGAGATGACAATCAAGGCCAACTACTAACTGACTAAACCTTGGTTTTGGTCTGTGTGTTTTGCAACGTTCATGAACTCATGTTGCCCCATTTATTGAAATATTTTCTCTGTCCAATCATATGATTGCCCGGAAGCCTGTTGGCCATACTCAGACCATGACTGTGTAGGATCTAAAGGTCTAGCTGTTTTGTGGGGGTAGTTTTTTCAAAACCCTATGCAACTTTGGGGTCATTGCTCGCTTTCTTTGCCAAACATAAATTGTGTCAAAGATTTCTAGGCCTGTTTCAAAATAGCAGAATTCCTGACAGGCTGCTTGAAAAGAAAAAGCAAAGAGAGAGAAAAAGGTCAAGTTTGAACAAAGTATGCAACTGTGAGAAATACATTGGCTTCACTTCACCTGGGTTCTTTGTAACATGTCAAATGAAAAAGAAAGAGAAATATAAACTTCTCATCCTTGGTTGACACAATCGTACTTTTAGACTTTTTTGTTTAAGCTAAACAACCATTTGCAAGTAACCAGGTGATCAGATTAGTCAAATTGATTTAAGAGCCCCCTCTGCTGGATTAAAAGACAAAAATACTTTTTTACTTTGAGCATTTAGTGACAATAGTGCTTACGTTCGAACGGGATACTGATGTTCACATTTCTCTAGGTTGTAACGTGTTTGCAGAGCTCACCATGCATAAGACGTTTCGTTAGATGTGTCTTTTATGGCCTGCTTTTGTTCATTCTGACTCATAACCGTTGGACAAAAGAAAGCCAAATATGCGTGAGTGATAGCAAACTTCAGAACTTCAGAGAAACCGGCTCCAACTCAAGGCCCCCCCAACTCAAACCCCACTCTTTGGGTGTGCAAAAAAGACCTGGTTTCGATCTGGTTACTGTGTTTAAAGGTGTTTTAAGGTTTATTTGTTTTTTGTGGCTCCAGACAAGAATTTTCTTTTCTTCTGCTGTGTTAACATGCTAAATATGAACTCCACGCATTGGAGTAATCAGATTCAGAATTAGAATCAGAATCAGAATCAGGTTTATTGCCAAGTAGGTTTTTAGACTTACAAGGAATTTGCCTTGGTGTTTAGTGCACAACACAACACTTCTATGAGAAGCAAGAAATAAAATGTAAAATTAAAATATAGGACAGAAATTATAAAACTGAAAAATACAATGTTTAAAAATATAGATCTGAATGTACAAATGAACAATCTTTAAAAATATAGATCCGAATGTGCAAATGAACAATAGAGATGTGCAATGTTGATCTGCAACGACAGACCAGAAAATGCTGAAGCATTGGGTAAATTAGTGAGATAGAGGGGGGTGGGAGAAGAATAGGTGGGGGTCACTGGTCTTGTTGATGAGGCCAGTTGCTGTTGGATAGAAACTGTCTTTATGGCGTGAGGTTTTGGTCCTGATGGTCCTCAACCTTCTGCCAGAGGGGAGAGTTTCAAAGAGTTTGTGACCAGGGTGAGAAGGATCAGACATGATCCTTCCTGCATGCCTTAAAGTCCTGGAGGCGGACAGGACCTGGAGGGATGGCAGATCGCAGCCAATCACCTTCTCGGCTGAGCGAATGATACGCTGCAGTCGGCCCCTGTCCTTAGCAGTGGCAGCAGCGTACCAGATGGAGATGGAGGAGGTGAGGATGGACTCAATGATGGCAGTGTAGAAGTGCACCATCATTGCCTTAGGCAGGTTGAACTTCTTCAGCTGCCGCAGGAAGAACATCCTCTGCTGGGCTTTCTTTGTGAGGGATCTGATGTTCAGCTCCCATTTGAGGTCCTGGGTTATAGTGATCCCCAGGAAACAGAAAGACTCCACAGAAGCAATTGTGGAGCCACACAGAGTGATGGGAGCAGGTGGTGCTGTGTTCTTTCTGAAGTCTACAACCATCTCCACTGTCTTGAGCGCATTGCGCTCCAAGTTGTTGGCTGCACACCAGGACACCAGACGGTCGATCTCCCACCTGTAGGCGGACTCGTCCCCATTTGAGATGAGTCCGATGAGGGTCGTGTCATCCGCATACTTCAGGAGCTTGACAGACTCGTGGCTGGAGGTGCAGCTGTTGGTGTACAGGGAGAAGAGTAGGGGGGAGAGAACACAGCCCTGGGGGGATCCAGTGCTGATGGTCCGGCTCTTGGAGGTGTGGCTTCCCAGCCTCACATGCTGCCTCCTGTCAGATAGGAAGTCAGTGATCCATCTGCAGGTGAGGTCAGGCACACCCAGCTGGGAGAGTTTGTCCTGGAGTAGGGGGGGATGATGGTGTTGAAGGCAGAGCTAAAAATCCACAAACAGGATCCTGGCGTAGGTGGCTGGGGAGTCCAGGTGCTGGAGGGTGAAGTGGAGAGCTAGGTTGACAGCGTCATCTACAGACCTGTTGGCTCTGTAGGCAAACTGCAGTGGGTCCAGGTGTGGGTCTGAGATGGCTTTCAGGTGGGCAAGGACAAGGCGCTCAAATACCTTCATCACCACGGAGGTCAGGGCGACAGGTCTGTAGTCATTGAGGCCTGAAATCTTTGTTTTTTTGGGGACGGGGATGATGGTGGAGGTTTTGAAGCAGGCAGGCACATGGCATTGAGTTGTTGTTTCATGTATGGAAGAGTGAATTTGACCAGAAACCCCAGTGACCCCAACAACGGTCATTAACGACGATCTCTGACTTTTTAATGGTAACCTTTAAAGAACAAAAGATTCATGGGCGCTCTTGATGGATTTCATTAATTAGTCTATTTTCTGTGATAAAGCCTTTTGCACCTGCTTTTGGAGGAGAGGTAGGGTTTACTCAGGAGCCAATCCCCAGATCCCAGAAACAAATAACCACACTCGCTCTTCGATCATTTTAATATTCTGAGCTCTTCTGCACGATCATATAGTCAGAAACATTGCTGAAAATATATATAGATGCAGATATATAAAGTTGAAGAGACAAACAGAGATGCCAGATTTATTCGTTCTCATTGACAGTATGTTAATTAGCTAAATGTTGATGTGGGGAAAAAAGCGCATTAATGCTAAAGCGTGGCATCTCTTAGCTAAGCTGTGAAAGAAATTCAAAGGTTAAAAAAATCAGGGGTGGCAGATCCGACCTGTTCCTGGTGAATTGTAGTCACTTATTTCATAATGAACAGGACGACACTGGTTTGCAACATCATCACAAATCACAACAGGATATCTTGCATGGGTTTGTGTATCTGTGACTTTGCCTTCGTTGGTGTGAACACTGATATCATAAACCCGTAATCTTGAAGTACTGGTGCACAGGTTGTTGCTCCGTTGCATGCCTCCTCCATTACAGATCCGCTCAACACGTCTCTTGTCCTGACTCCTGTTGAAGGTCTGATAAGGTCTGTCACAGAGCCTCCTCCTCCTAATGCACCTGAAGAACGAGTTCAAAGTCCGGTGGAACCAGAATGTTCAGTGAACAGATACAAAAAATGTGCATCAAAGAAATTAGACAAAGTAAAGCATAAAAGCCTGTCTTTTTTTTTTTTTTTCAGATGCATTTATCTATTCCAATGTAAAGCTGCTTATGGTTAAGGAGATCTGATCAGGTTGGCAGGTGCAGCCATTCGGATTTTGAGTTTATGTCGAAGGACTCCTGAGGGATGTGCTTACTAACAAAGTTGTTGTAGGCGTTGTTGTCATGGTTCCTCTCACACGGACGACTATTGTAGGCTCCTTTTGTCCAGGATCAGAGCGAGGGACAGAGTGGACATGACAGTGACCAGGATGGCCACGTTCATCTTGTCTAGAGAAAGAAGAAAGTGAAGTCATTCATCCAACTATCAACGAGCTGACTCACACAGAGCTGCTGGGTCATTTAATCCGACCCCCTTCCCATGACCCATCATACATGTCAGGGTGGAGTGGACATGTGACCTCACAGTGACCATCTTCTCTGGAGTGAGAAGAAATGAAAAGTATTTCATCAAACACTGTGGTTACACCCAGAGTTGAGCCGAGTCGTTCGTGTGACCACCTTCCCGCGTCCCATTTTCCACTCTGGAGCTGTGGTTGATATGAAAAAACAAACAAGATAAAAAAAAAAAACGCTTCCTTGGCATAACATTGAAATGCCAATCTTAAATAATTGTAATGGTAAACTGACAAAGTGCTTTCTTTACATTTGGATTTGTTTAACCCCATCATACTTACATTATGGAATCTTTTGGATCACTTTACGGTTAAACTCTTGTAAAAAATTTAATACCAGTGGGCAGAAAACTACACTACATTCCTTCTGAGTTATCGCAAAGAAACATATTGAAAATGTACAGAAAGATACCGTTGTTATTATTATCATTATAGTTATATCTCAAGAAATGACCAAAAAAGACTTCAGAAGAAATATGTAAATCTTATCTCTATTTTTCCATTATTATCTATTTATCTTATCTTATCTATTTTCCATTTCCACAATTGGATTCAAAATTTTTCTTTCAAAGGATTTATTTGCAGTTTATGTAATCTCTGGAAACCTCTCTTTTTAAATTTCTTCAGTCAAAAAGAAAACAGACAGGTCTTTTGAAAGTTAGTTTCAATGTCTGTTCTTGAGGTAATGTAACAAGAGGAAGTCCCGAAAACCACACACACACACACACACACACACACACACACACACACACTCTCTCTGTCTAATGGATCTTACTCCTTTTCGGGTTTTTTTTTTTTTTGCTCTACTTTCTTCCCTGTCCCTCTCTCAGGTTTGGCATTACTGGATATATGCATGCAGATTCAATTAAACAAAAAGAATTAAAGTATATTGTATTGCTCTGCTGGTCTTTTTCTCTAAAATTGTTTTTTT